AGCACTTTGCTCTAGGGGCGATGCTCCAGTTTTCTTAGACTCTGAGGCTGAGTCTCTTTTTCAACTGCAACCTTTTTGTTTTATTTACCTATTGTCCTTGTACAATAAATATATCTCGTCCTTTGCAGGACGAAATCGAACAACAGAGCGTACGAAAGTGGCATTTGCAATCATTTATCCAGCATACCACATAGTCTGGTACGACAAGGTATACCTTTTTTTGTTAAAATAATGTATCTTTAATGTTTTTTACAAAAAATACCGGTAACTTTAATAACAAAAAAGTTAAGTGCAAATGTATGCCACGTACGTGGCATATGTGGCGCCCTCTATTAGCTATACCAAAGTATGCAACAAATTATAATTCCTGATATTGAATAGTACCCAGTTGTAAATTTTTATACATAAATGTTTACAAACATGAAAGTTATAGCGAAAAATAAAATTTTAAATTTTCACTTTAACACCCTGTATCTTTTTTAATATCAACATTTTATCAAAGCAAGTTAGCTTAAATCGTAATATTTTAAAGTGTAGAATCTGCGGTTTCTTTTTGTACAATTACTTAACAGGTTGGATGCCTTTGACGCTTATAAGCGTCACTGTGTACTTTGCTCGGGTACCTCAGTCGCTTATAATCGTTCGGCACGTATTTATATATTTATTTACATTTCTTAGTCGGGACCACGTAAAAGTAAGTTACAAAATAGCGGCATCCAACCTGTTAAGGACCACCCTGTATACAGTACGTTAAGTTTTGCTTAAGGTGTTGTCCATAATTAACTGCATTTCAAGACGTAGCAATCTTTTAAATAATTTAGGTTAGTTGGTCCGTTAATATAAACGCGGTTTTTCAATTAACTTCACAGAAAAAAATCAAGTGGTGTCAAATTGGGTGATCTTGCCGGCGACTGTATCATACCTCTTCGACCAATCCATCTCTGAGGTAAAATTATATTTAAATATTGCCTAACGTCCCTTTGATAATGTCAAGGAGCACTATCTTGTTGAAAATATACACTCATGTTTGGAAACAAACTTTTGATTCCAGGTATAATTTGATTTTGGAGAAGGTCGAGATATTTGGCTCCGGTCAGCGTACCTTCAATAAAAAAGGACCAATTAAATGGTTTTTTACCAAATCAGCCCAGACATAAGTTTTTCTGGATATTGTGTACGAATTTCCTTTATTCAGTGCGGATTACAATCTGACCAGTATCGATAATTATGCCTGTTCACATAACCATTTAAACAGAATGTGGCTTCATCACTAAACACAACAAAATCTAAAAAATTGTGTTGCGTCTTTATTTTCTGTTACCGTTTCACAAAATTCTAATCAGCAATCAAAATCATCTTCAGATTATTTTCAGATTAATCAAAATCATCTTCAGATTATATTTTTTACCAGTTCACTGTAGACACTTTGGGATTCTCTGAACATTTAATAGAATATCTACAGTTTTATCGTCATTAGTTGCTGTTTTCGGTGTACCAGACCTTGGACGATGCTCTACACTACCAGTTTCATCAATTTTTTTATTATTATGGATACCGTTAATCTACTTATAGCAGGGAGTTCAGGATTTAAATAGTTAAAAAGATTATTTGCTTCTTAATACGTTCGTTTAGGATCACCAAATCAAACTAATAAGTACTTGACTAGGATATCTGGGAGTAGTCAATAAAAAAGACGTACCATCTCGTGAGTATCGATTTTTTTTTAACTGCGTCGTGGTTTTTTTATCAAAATTTAAGCAAAAAAGTGAATTTTTCATTTATTTCAATATTGTGAAAAACTATGCATTGTATATAGTATAGGATCCCGCTATAAAACGACCTTCACCGAGCTGGTTAATGGATGAAAGATATTCTTTATCAAATAAAATAAGTCAATAAATATATTACGAATGGGTTGTCTAAAAAATTTCAGTCCAGAATATGATTAATTAACAATTAAAAAAATTTTTTTTTTTTTTAAATTACACCGGCTTGGTTAATGAACAAATTCCATTCCAATCGAAAATATGAAACCTATAGAATATACAAATATTAGGTTGACTATTTGTTTCCCGTCACAACCCTTGGGTAGGCAGGTATAAACAGGTAAATCGATACTAGTAACTTGCACCGGTCTGATTAATGAATGAAACTAAAATAAAAATAAAGATAATTTTATTACGAACACGGTGGTATAGGGTTGTCTGCAAAAAATCAGTCCTAAATTGCGGTTGTTGAATTTTAAAAAGTGAAATATTGCTGCGAGTGAATACGTGCGACAGCGAGGTCCCAGCAAACCATCCCAGGCGATAGAAGAGGACACAGCATTGCAGTTGTCTATAGTTTGTTGGTTGAATGAAAGAGAGCGCGCATGCTATTTGTCGGTGAAAACGAAAAGGATAGCGATAGACTAGTAAATGCTACGCGTCATTTTGGAGTAGATTGTCGCTACATTTGTAATTGAAAACACGTGCTACTATTTGTTATTGTAAAAAATGGCTAAAAAGTGTTTTTTGTGTGATTCGGATGATGGTGTTATTGATTTTAATGATGAAACTTTTAAAAACTGTTCATTAATGTTAGCTTTTCGTAAAATTAAAAACTTTAAATACAACGGTGTTGAGCTAACTAGTGCGTCACTCGATTTTATAGGTTACCATACCACATGTTATAAAAAAGTTACTGCCTTGAATAAAAAATATAATGAAGAATTTGAAAATTTTAGTGAAAATATATTTGGCCGACTTTTGGCAATTAGTCTGAACAAAAAAATAAATCTCGAATATTGCCTAACTTTTCCACTAGCACCAATGCCACCAGCTCTTTTTTCATGTACTGGAGAGATGTTAAAAACTTCAAAATCTACGTTAGCAAAGATTTTGAAATCAGAAACTAAAATGGTTGAGCCAATATATATCAACGTTGAAATAATTGATGATTTTTACTACTTACACTTAATCGGATCTTCTATGCCCCAAACTTTTGATAAAATTGCAGAAACAATACTTATCAAAATATGTTCAACAAACGCAACAGAAGTACATTTAATTTTTGATCGTTACTTATCACCGTCAATTAAAGATTCCGAACGTGAAAGCCGAAAAGAATTCGATATTCCGTACAAAATTTCGGGACCTCAACAAACCAGACCTCATAATTTTTTACAAAGCCTTAAAAATTATCGTTTCAAAGAGGCTTTGGTGCTGTTTCTGGCAGATTATTGGGAGAACAACCATTTGGTAACAATAATCCAAAACAAAAAGATTTTCTTAACCGTCAACTATCAATGCTATTCTTATCAAGTTCATGAAAACTCCATAAAAAAAGTGAAGAAGTTAATTATGAATGTCATCACGAAGAGGCAGATACGAGGTTTATTTTTCATGCTCATAAAGCGGAACCAGGGTCAAGGATTTTAATTAAAGCCTCTGATACTGATGTTTTGATTATTTTGTTAGGAAATATGCACAAAATTTCAGAATCAGAAATTTGGCTTTCCACTTCAGCAATAAAAAAGAGTAATAACCAACCTGTTGATTGCATTAATTGTACCGATCTAGCATTGAAGTTAGGACTTAAATTGTGCCAAAGTCTTCCCGCCTTCCATGCGTTCACAGGTTGCGATTACACGGCTGCATTTCACAATAAAGGAAAGGTAAAACCTTTTAAGCTGCTTTCAAAAAATGAAAAATATCAAACAGTTTTTGCGCCACTAACAGATGAAGCTGATATTTTCATTAACGAAAAAATGAACACCGTTCAAGAATTTACTGCCAATATGTATGGCGTCAAGAACTGCACAAAAGTGAATGAAGCGAGATATCGCATTTTTCTGAAGAAATATTCTGCCAAAGAAGACAGCGAGCAGTTTAAAAAAAAAATAAAAGGCTTTGACTCCAACTCTATACCACCATGCTGGATATCATTGACTCAGAAAATTTTACGAACTATTTTCGTAAATTCCATGTGGCTTAATGCAACGGATCCAGTATGCGTGAAACTTCAACCTGAAAACTGCGGTTGGTTCTTCGATGAATATTTAAAGCCAGTAGGATTCATTGGGGATCATACACCTTTAAGAATAGAAGATATTGTCGAAACATCTGAAACAGAAAGCGATGACGAAGAATGTTCGGACATTGAAGATTACAATTACATGTCTGATGACTCGGATCCTGAATAATTTGAAAATTCAACAACCGCAATCTACTCCAAAATGACGCGTAGCATTTACTAGTCTATCGCTATCCTTTTCGTTTTCACCGACAAATAGCATGCGCGCTCTCTTTCATTCAACCAACAAACTATAGACAGCTGCAATGCTGTGTCCTCTTCTATCGCCTGGGATGGTTTGCTGGGACCTCGCTGTCGCACGTATTCACTCGCAGCAATATTTCACTTTTTAAAATTCAACAACCGCAATTTAGGACTGATTTTTTGCAGACAACCCTATACCACCGTGTTCGTAATAAAATTATCTTTATTTTTATTTTAGTTTCATTCATTAATCAGACCGGTGCAAGTTACCAGTATCGATTTACCTGTTTATACCTGCCTACCCAAGGGTTGTGACGGGAAATAAATAGTCAACCTAATATTTGTATATTCTATAGGTTTCATATTTTCGATTGGAATGGAATTTGTTCATTAACCAAGCCGGTGTAATTTAAAAAAAAAAAAAAAATTTTAATTGTTAATCATATTCTGGACTGAAATTTTTTTAGACAACCCATTCGTAATATATTTATTGACTTATTTTATTTGATAAAGAATATCTTTCATCCATTAACCAGCTCGGTGAAGGTCGTTTTATAGCGGGATCTTAGACTAATATGTAAAACGTTCAACAGACGATTTTCTTGAAAATACTTTAAATTAAAAAATGTCTATAAACAAAAAATTAAACCCGAAATTAAGCGGAAATTTTAAACATAGATATTCTTAATTAAAATTTTAATCTTAATTAAAATCAACGCCAATAAAACAAGATAAATACATACCTGGCGCCTGATCATCATTAATAGGTTTCAAAAACAATGAGGCATATTTATTTGTCGCCAATCGATTGTAGACTAAAATCACAGACTTTTTCCAATTCCTGTACTCCTTATCATCGTCATAAAAAGCCGAAACGGATACTGGAGAGTCGGTGGGTGTCACCGAATCGGTAGGTGTGACTGGCGTTGAATATCTTCTTTTACTACTTTTACCTCCATCCTCTTCCTCCGTCCATGGGCTGTTTGATCGGTCTGTCTCTGCCTTTACTTTTGATTTTGCGCCTTTCTTTTCGACGTCCATTGCATTATCGGACATTGTCTCCTCCGTTAGATCTTGGTCTTCAATATTGGATTTGTCCAAATCAAGGAGCATATTAAAATCTAAAAAGATACCGTTTTATTAAGGCCGTTCCTTGCTATTCGGGGCATAGCTAAATTCCAATGTAAAAGTTTAAATAAAACAACGCAAAAACTATGGCAGATATTGAGATAATTCTTTTTTTGCATGATAGATCTTAAACCATTCTAATGCACTAACTCTTTATAAAAAAATTTCTTTTCTCAATTTCTTTTTGTTTAAAATTAATTTAAAAAAAAATTAAAAGCTACGTCACTAAAGAATTTTTTCACACTTTCCGAATCTGTTTTTACTTTTTTTTTAAGAAAAGTTACCCTATCTCCCCTATTGTTTCTGGTACCGAGACCGTATGCTTCTATGTTGTCCCCTTCGGCACCACGGCCAATTTTGGCGTTAAAGTCACCCATTATCATCGTTATCTCTCCTTTTTTTGTCAGTTGCATTATTTCATTTATATTGTGATAAAAGTTTTTAATTTCTTCTTCTGATTTGTCACTTGTCGGAGCATAGACCTGAATAACATTTAGGTTTCTATGGGTTGTTCTTAATTTCAGCATTGCTACTCTATCATTTAGAAGGATAAAGTCTATAACTGACTGCGCAATTTTGTCCAATACTAATATAGCCATTCATTATTGATGTTCTGGGTCGGTTCCTCCTGACCAATAGATGTATCCATCTTTTGTTTTTTGTTTTCCTGAACCAGGCCATCTTACATCACTCATCCCCAAGATGTCCATTTTTATTCTTCTCATCACAGCTTCAGTGTTTGCAAGTTTCCCAGACACGAATATTACACAGTAGTTGACGGGGGGATTCTTCGCACCCTCTCCCCATTTAAGGGGTGCCCCGGAGTGAGGGCCATTTTCTTGTTTCCGTCTGCCATTTAGATTTGTGGGAAATATAATGGGGTGGTTTTCCCGTTGCCTTCCCCATCGCAGTACCACAACTATTCGAACTTCTCCAGTCATGCATTCCAGTTTCAAGCCACTCCAGGATAATTTCCTCTGCGCCTTGAGCTGGTTCTAATGATCGCTGCTGCCCTTTACCAGGGAAGGATATATATATATATATATATATATATATATATATATATATATATATATATATATATATATATATATATATATATTGTTATGATGTGTTGTTGTTGTATGAGCAATGAGTAAATTTGAATGATATATGTAAGTATAGGGTTTTTATCGCGGTTCTCAAAGAATTAGTTTGTAAGTACTTTTTTTAAATTATCTTTATTATAAATATTATGAAACAAACCTATCTATCTAATATAAGCAATATCAATTTAAAACAATCTATCTAAAATTTGAAATTCCTAAAATTATTAAATTATTAACAAAATTTGGTACTTTCTTTCACTGAACGCCTAAAGTTTTTCCAGAATTAAAGTTATTATCACCACTCGATATCTTCTTACTAAGCCTTGGTTATCCAACTATGTTAATATCTTCCTTCTTAATTATCTCCACTCACCATATAAATATATATTTAACTCCTTGTAATTTCCATATACTTAATGTACTTTGAAATATACTGGATCTTGTGGTTGTATTATTGAATGCTTATTTCAATGAATTAACTTCAAAACTGTCACTATATTACTGTAGTAATAATTAATCTCCAACTGTATTTAACTTAATAATTCATTTAACTTAATCAATACCTTCTTCTAGCATTGAATAATCTCTTCATAACCTCATAAATAACTGACTTAATAATCCTTAAATTGTTATAACTAACTCCTCACTAATAATCTTGTAACTGATTTAATATCTTCTAACTAACTTACTTAACTCAATTAATAATCTTCTTGTAACTAAATTCTTGAATTATAACTTTACTAACTGATAACTGAACTGGTAACTGAACTTAACTGAACTGAACTCATAACTGACTGACTAAACTCTAACTCATAACTGACTAAACTGAACTCTAACTCATAACTGACTCCTCTGACCAAATTACATGGCCTATATATATATCTTTTTTCTTTCCAGAATATTCCAGCAATAAATAATGTTCGAATCATTCTATTTGTTTCTTTTCTTTTCTAATTTTTTATAATTCTCTTCCATTTTTCTTTTTATGTCTTCTTTGACTTCTTTTGAATTCTCTTCCAATTTCTGTTCCATTTTTCTTATGTCTTCTTTGACTTCTTTCGAATTCTCTTCCATTTTTTTCGTATTTTCTTCCATTGTCTTGTTCATCTGCATCATTATTGCCATCAGAGCTGCCATATTGACATTTTCTCCTCCTTCTTGATTCATTTCCACTGTATCTTGTGGAACTTGGACTAAAATCTCCTCTTGTACAGCTTGTGTTTCTATTTCCACATCTTCTTCATTCTTTTTGTTTCTTGTACCTTTTTTTCCTTGAGACATATTGAGACTTTACTTGTTCAAATATAATTTAAAAAAGTATTTACAAACTAATTCTTTGAGAACCGCGATAAAAACCCTATACTTACATATATCATTCAAATTTACTCCTTGCTCATACAACAACAACACATCATAACAATATATATATATATATTTGGCGACAAACTTGTGGCATATTCTTCACATATAAAAATGTATACTCTATCGGCAACAACTGCGTTTTTGCAATTGAAAAAATAGTATCATTTAATAAACAAATTAAATATCTCAAACTACTGAATATTTTTTAATCAAATTTTGTTTCCTTTATATTGGTAACATAACGTAACTGATTCTAGTTTTTTTTAATACGTAAAAAATTGTTAGTAACACGAAAATCGAAACGGCATTTCAAAATTTTAATCGCCGAGACATTATTAAAAAAAATACAAGTTATAAACAAATACATTTTTTACAACTATTTTATACTATGCTTTTACCCATTTAAAACGTAAAATATTTTTTAAGGTTTCTTAAGCATTATATACAATATTGGTAGTACCACCTCTCAATTAAATTCATTACTTTTTAGCTTGTGGCGTACGCAGATATAATCTAAAATACATTTACCTTTTTCGTCCTTTTTCTTTGTCCTGGAATAATCCCTCTTCTTTGCATTTTTATCAAATTTAACTTCTATATTCATCTCATCAAACAATTCATCCCCGAACTCAGTCTTAATTTCAACATCGTTTCCAGGCTCTTTTTTAACTTCGGCCACCGAATCTGACGTCTCGGAAGATTCTTCGTACGTAGCAATCGATGTCGTATCTTTGCTTTCCGTGGGACTGCTTTCTTCATTTTCAGTTTTGATTTTTTCTTCAATTTCCGTTCTTATCGACTTAACATCTTCGGAATCGTTCGATTTTTCTGAACTTATTACTTCTGATTTGGAATTTTCTTTATCTAGCTCATCGTCGTCAGTTACCACAACTTCTACTATTTCGACGGAGCCCGGAACCGCGGACTGTTCAGTTTTTTCCATCTCTTCCTCTTGTGGTTCCTGTTGAGGTTCTTCACTTTGTTGATGCTAAAAATACAAACAAGTCAAGCTGTAGAATATTTACAGATTTCAATATTTTGTTATTTAAGTATTGTTTCAAGCTATCAAATTATAAAGTAGTCTTGCAATAAAAATAACGTGTTGGGATTTAACTCACTTCTACAAATATTATACAATAGTCAATAATATACCTATAAATAACACAAACCGACAAGCCTGTATACATTTCTAAAGGTTTTTGGTGCGCTGAATACGACTCTGACATCCAAATTGACGAATTGGTTCTGGTTTCTGAGATCTCCTTACCTAAAAGTGCAAAAATAGCAGTTTTACATAGCGTCGTCTATGTAACAGAGTATTTTTATTTCTTTGTTTTCCATTGTGTATCCTCTTCCTTTGTTAACGCTTTTGATGATTTCATCCATGATTAAATTGAAGAACATGGGGCTCAATGAATCTCCTTGCCTTATTCCGCTGCCTATTTCTATAGGTTCTGTAAGTTGTCCATCTATTCTGACTTCCATTTTGTTGTTTTGGTAAATGTTTTCGATAGTTTTTATAATATTTAGGGGAACTTCTCTATTATACAGAAGATGAATTACATATTTTGAGTCTTACAATGTACTACATGAACTTCTACATGAACTATTTAAATATGATAACTATTTAAATACTTACATAAACATACTCTTGTATGAATTATTTAAAAATGTTAAGTATTTGGCGCTAGAGTTCAAGCCACAACTTCAAGCCATTCAAGATGTACAATGGAGAAAATAAAATATGTTTTCTCCCAAAATGGAAAAGTAAAAACCGAAAAACAGATCAATAAACAGACCTGGAAAAATTACTGCTCAGAATTATACAAAGACACTTCAAAAGATGCATCAGTCTCAGAACACAAGAAACATGCAATCAGAGAGGCAGAACCAAACACTTTACGAGCGGAAGTAGAGAAGGTTCTCAACCAACTAAGAAACAAAAAATCCCCAGGGATTCATGGCATACCAGCGAAAAATGGAGTAAGAGTAACATTGAAGCCTTCGAAATGTGGGTCTATAGAAGAATTCTACGCGCGTCCTGGTCGGAACACAGAACCAACCTACCATTTCTTTAAGCGCTTCATGTAAAAGAAAAAGAAGAAGACAGAGCTATAAGAACGGGGACCATGGAACTATTGGTAGTAAAAGGAACGATAGAAGACCAAAGACCAAGAGGAAGATCTCCAATATCAAAAAGCCATACAAGATTATAAAAAAAGATTAGACCAACAAAAATCTAAAGAGATAACCTATAAGACGAGGATATGTACCGTCTCCTTTACTTTTTATGTGCCCAGAAGAGGTTTTTAGAGGAACTAAAAGATGTAAATGAAGGTGTATACATTAAAGGAATACTAGTGAATAATCTCTCATATGCAGGCGATTCGATACTCCTTGCGGAGAGAAGAGGAGGGCTGCAGATTTTGACAGGATTGAAGACGAAATATACCTTAAAGGAAAAGCTTTAGAGAAAGTAACCCAGATACATTGGAAAGAAATGTACAACACCGGGCCACAACAACAGCCTGGAAATATTCCATATGCGCCCAGCTTGCTTCAACTACAATAAAATATATAGCCAGCGCCATGTTTCGTTTAACAGATTTAGAACACGTTAACACCACAGGTCCATACAGAATTACAACCAATAATTTATCAACATCATTACCCTCATAACTCTCTAAGCTAAACTATGCAACATACATCATCTCAAAGTTCTCAGATACAGCATTCCATTGATTGCAACAATGAAGAGAAAGGGGAAATAATCTATGATGAAACGCAATGGCACACAGCTACAACCCGGAAGAAAAAAAAAACGAAGTCCAAAACATCCAATAATAAACTTACGTCAATCCACCACACCAACCAATAATAAGTAAACCTAACAAGGAGTTTTATCCAAAAGCCATTACACAGAAAATTGGAGAAAAGAGAAAACTTAGACATAGCAAAACAATCGAACACCAACCAATAAAGCTGCATTTAACAAAGCAGCAAAAATGCTAAGTGATCTAAAAAATACATCAACTGCAAACTATCTGAGAGACATATCGCCATTAGAAGCCATAGATTACATCCTTTGGAAGGCTACCAGAAAATTGTTACGACCACAACAACATATACCACCTATAACGAGTTAAAACGAGTAACGGACATTGGACATGCACTGATGACGAAAAGGCAAATATATTTCTCGAACACTTGGAAAATACCTTTACTCCATTTCCCTGTTAGTTACAATTAGAGGAAGAGGAAAATATTCATAGATATTTGGACTGTCCATACCAGATCTCTGCCTATTGGAAAACCCGAAATTATTGACTAATACTTAATACTAATAAGAAGAAAGCTCCTGGTTATGAGTTGATTACTGGATTCGTCTTATATTAATTACTACAAAATGCGATCCTCTTATTAAGACAAATCTACAACGCTTTTCGCTACAGCGTTTTCACTTCACAATGGAAAGTGGCTTAAGTTATTTTAATTCACAAAATAGGCAAAGCTTGAGAATCCGGAACTTCATATAGACCCATTATTTTATTACCAATTCTTGCTAAAATTCTTGAGAAACTAATAATAAAGAAATTTAGTTCTTTCCTAGAAGAAAACTGCTTAGTTCCTGACTACCAATTTCTTTTTCGACAAAAACACGCTGCTGTTGACCAAGTGCACAGAGTTGTTAATATCACAAACCAGGATTTGGAGGAAAAGTGCTATTGTTCTGCAGTATTCTTGGACATCACACGAGCTTTTGATAAAGTATGGGATATAGGATTGCTGTATAAAATTAAACAACAACTACCATTTCAATACGATAGAATATTCAAATCCTACATAACAGACAGATATTTCCAGATAAAATACAGTACGCTCGTAACAGCATTGAGATCTATAAACTCTGACGTACCTCAAGGTAGTGTGCTTGGTCCACTCTTATATCTATTATACACGGCCGACCTACCCACTTTTGATCAGCGTTCCTTGGCAACATTTGCTGATGACACCGTCATCCTCTCGTCGAACACAAATTCGATCGAAGCATCTGGGAGGTAACAAGTCCACTTAAATACCATTCAAAGGTGGTTTTCTTCATCCGCAATCAAGATATACCGCAATCCAATAGTGCAAAATACCTTGGTATTCATCTTGATAGACGACTTACTTGGAGAAACCACATCTTCAATAAACGAAAACAACTTGGATTAAAATTAAGACAATTTTACTGGCTACTTGGGAGAAAATCTGAATTATCACTAGAAAATCAATTAATAGTGTATAAAGTAACTCTAAACCCATCTGGACCTATGGCATTCAACTGTGGGGGTGTGCAAGCGAATCCAATAGAGGTTCTAATCGAAGGTCCTTAAGCAGATTGTTAATGCACTATACTACGCCCCTAATGAAGTCATACATCGTGATATGTCAGTGAATGTTGTGCGCGAAGAAATAAAAAAGTGTATTGAGAGGCATTGATATTGACTGCAATGAATTGTGTATTGTATTATCTTTTATTTTGTGATATTGATGATTTATATAATCTCAGTAAATTTGAAATTGTTATTGTTATTTCTGTTTTTTTGTAAATTTGTTCATAAAATTGTATAATTTTTAATGACAATAAAGCATATTTCTATTCTATTCTATAAAAATCAAGTAATACACAAAAGTATTATTATAAATATTACTCACCATAGCCATATTAATTTGAATATCGGAAATATACGTTTTTATCATGACAAATATGTTAAAAAGTGTATATAATACAACAAGTACAACACATTAACTAATCTAGATACCAACAGAAGGCAAAACTGGTATTTTTATAAAAAGTGGACCATATAATAAAGTTGTAGTAGAAATTTAGTCCAGTCAAAAATATGTATAATTTAATAAGGTATGTAAGTAATATTTTGTTTATTTACTAATTTGTTACAAATTCAATAGATTATCTTATACAAATTTGTGGGTTTTACTTTGTCTGCTTCCATCCATCCAATGGCACTACAGCCCAAATCGGGCCTTAGCCTCCTTCAACAAGCTTCTCCAATCATTTCGATTTACCGCTGTTCTTTTCCATGAACGCGTTCCCAGGCAGTTCCTGGCATCCTCATCGATTTCGTCTTCCCATCTCTTTTTAGGTCTTCCAACAAGTCTTTTTCCCTGTATTCTTGCATTTAGTAATTTTCTGGGGATTCTATTTTCATGCATGCGGACCACGTGCTCTGCCCACCGTAATCTCTGCAGTTTAGTGTATTGTGCTAGAGTTGGTTCGCTATATTGCTCGTATATTTCTCTATTATACCTAATTCTGCAGTTGTTGTTTTCACTTATTGGGCCCAGTATCCTACGTAATATTTTTCTTTCAAACACATCTAATGCATTGGCAGATTTCTGTGTCACTACCCATATTTCACAACCATAACTTACTATGGGCCCGATTATTGTTTTGAATATGTGGCCCATCGCGAAATAGGCTTTATTTGCCAGTACAAGTTTCCTTCTATTTATTTCCGGTTCTTCTTCATTGCTTGCGACCAGATCCATTCCTAGGTATGTGAATCTATTCACATGTTCTATATCGTCAATAAAGTGTTGTTGCGCCGGTCTATTTGATCTGGTTTGTATGAGTAGTTTTGTTTTATTTGTATTTATTGCTAGTCCTGCTGCTTCTGCAATCTGTTTCAACTCAACGTAGGTTTCCTCCGCTGCATTCACTGTTCTGATCATTATGTTTATATCATCTGCGTATGCTGCTTATTGGGAGATTTGTTTGTAAGTATGTTATTTCCGCTCAACGTCAACCGTCTAATTACATATTCAAGAACAATTCCAGTTGGAGCCAGTTCGTCCTCTTGTTTCAGTCCTGGCGTTATCGTAAACGCATCACTGATCTGTCCTTGAATACATAACTGTGCTTCTGTTTCTGTCATTGTCACTAGTCGTATTAATTTTGATGGTATGCCAAATTCTTGCAATATA